ACACACACACACACACACACACTCACAAACACACCTCTACATACTCAGCTCTGGAGTTGTGTTGCTGGAGTCTGTCGTGGTAGACAGCTGGCCCTCAGTTTCATGTGTGCTTTCTCCTCCCTTCCAGGAGTTCTGTAACCATCTGTACAATGTATTATTATCCCAAGGCACCCAGAAGAAGTCCAGTAAACAGGAGAATTGGAAAATAAGTATATCACATGTAAAATTATGTTAAGGGCACATTTCAGCTTCCTGGTTGCTGAAGCTTTGGGAGTTGCTACCACTACAGTGAGAATAAAAGTTTAGCTGGATGCTGCTAGAGGGCCTTCAGATCTCACTTTGGATATTTTTATTTTGTTTTGAAATGTCTCAGTCTGTTTGGGCTGCTGTAACAAAAATACCATGGATGGGGTGCCTTAAACAACAAACATGTATTTCTCACAGCTCTGGAGGCTGGGAAGTCTGAGATCAGGGTGCCAGCAGCAAGAGAGCTCTGTGGGGTCTCTTCTATGAGAGCACCAAACCCACTGATGAGGGTTAGAACCCATTATCCTAATCACCTTCCAAGGGCCCCAGCCCCCTAATACCATGGCACTGGGGATGGGGATTTCCACATATAGATTTAGGAGGACACAAACATTCAGTTCATCACATGGAGTAAGTAATGCTACATTTTAGAAATTATTAGTCACCAGAAAATGTTTTGCTTTACTTTTTAATAAAAACTTGCTGCACATATTAAATTTCATATGGATTCAGGGTCAATGATTTTTTTTTCTGGCTGTATATCAGGTTTTGTAATAAAATTTAGGGAGAAGGTTAGAGTCACTTAAACTATTTTTCCAGTAAGCTACTAGGAGTACATTTATTCAAGTAAGGGAGGTATAATTGTCGAGTCAGTTTTGTTACTCTTATCCTATCTCAACAACACCTAAGGAGCAATAACACACTACTGGAAGCTAAATAATTAAAGGGATGAAAATAGTAAATTCATTTCTAGCTAGCTCTTGATGAGAGCTGGAGAGAGAGCTGTTTTAAGCTGTAGCAATGACTGGCTTTAAAAAAAAGAAGATTCAGAAATCCATTAAGATTCACTTAAGGACTCTCGATTTTTTTTTTCATGTCAACATTCATAACTCACATTTCTATTTTGTTTTCCAGTGAGGAGTCAGGTATATTTTTGAATAAGATGACTCTCAGACAGATTCTACTTTGATTTTGTGTGTTTCGTAGCTGCTTGGTGAACTGATCCTGGACCGGCACAACTTCGCCGTCATGACAAAGTACATCAGCAGGCCGGAGAACCTCAAGCTGGTGATGAACCTCCTCCGGGACAAAAGCCCCAACATCCAGTTCGAAGCCTTCCACGTCTTTAAGGTAAAGTGCGAGCTGCAGCAGTAAGGCTGGCGTTTGTCTTCCGGTTCAAACGGCAAACTCCCTACTTTGTATCCTCCTTTATACTCAAGAGAAAATTAAATAAGCAGTCTTTCTGTTTTGCATGACTTAGATGAAATTTTAGAGTTATTTTAATGAATGCTTACTTGTTTCTAAAAGATTTGCCAACTATTCCATATCTCTAAATATTTTCATTCTTTTTCACTGAGAAAATAGGTACTGTTTCCCCCAAAGTTACTAAAATAATCAGGGATGGAACCAAACCCCGAGTGTCAGAATTTGAATACTTTGTTCTGCCTTAAGTGTTTCTTTGAACTTTAAATGAAACCTGAAGAAACACTGAGCACTAATACTTACTTTTATTACTTGTTTAGATATATTTTTAATGCATTTTGAAAGAAAACTAGTCCTATAACATCTGCTTTTTCTTTCTAATCTTTTTTTGTTGATATAAGAGTAATAAAGTCACTTCCTAGAAACTTTAGACAATAGATTTGTTTAAGAGTAGGGTAGGTGGGAGAAATCTAATCTACAATCTCATACCACTAACTTAACTACTGTAAAGATGTCACTAAATTTTATTTTCCTATGTATACATTTGAAGGTTTTCTCTGCAGCTGTATTCACAGTGTCCACAAAACCGATACCCCAGTTTTATCACTTAACGCTTGCTATATACCGCGAATACTAATTCATTACTGTTACCGTTTTTTAAAAGAGCCAGTAGTTTTATTGGCATCATAGTTTATCATTGGGTGTGTTTACTGTAGTTTACTTAAATATCCCTGTGTCATTTATATTTTGGTTATTTTCCATTTTTAGCTACAGTGAGTGTTTTATATATCCAGCTTGTTTTTTCCAGTTATTTCCTTAGGATAGTTCTCTAGAGTAGAATTAAGGGTTCAGAGAGTTCCAGGCTTTTTTTTTTTTTGTCTTTGTAATGTATATTCAATGCTTGAATTTCTAAGTCTATAAATAGGAGACACCGCAGTTTATAAAGTAATTGTTGCTTTGAGAGGTAAAAAAATTTTAATCCATCTTTCAGCCACCAGATCTTTGTTGCCCAAAAAACCACTAGAGCAATTCAAATCCCAAATTCATTTATAAATTCCATTTAATTATATTCAAAATCCTAACAGGACTTTCCCTGGAACTTGACAAGCTGATTATAAAATTTGTGTGGTAGAGCGATGGCCGAGGGTTATCTATGGCAATTTTGAAGGAAAACAAGGCAGGGAAATCCACCCTGCCAGATAGGAAGACTTGCTATGGATTTATACTCAATGGAGACAGTACTGTATTGGCACAGAGATCGACAGTCCACTAGGTCTGTATACAGAGTGCAAATGTTCATTTAAAATTTTTATTATTTTATATTTTATTAAAATTTATTATTTAAAATAAAGTTCTATTTATCCCTAAAAGACAAGAAAAAAAAAATAGAACACCAAACCAGAGTAAAGGGCCCAGAAGTAAGCCTATGCAAATATGAACTTGATATTTGGCAGTAGAGGGGTTGCAAATCGGTGAAGAAAGGGGTACAGTTAATAAATGCTTCTACAGTAAAGGATTATCCATATAGAAAACTGTACCCTCTACTATATTCAGAAATAAATACTCGGTAAAGATCTACAACCTGAAAAGCAAAAAATTTTTTTTTGACTTTTAAGAGAAAATCAGAGACTGTTTTTATGATGTTGGGGAGGGAAGAATTTCTTTAAAAATAACTTTAAATCATGAAACATAACAGAAAATATTTAAGTCTGACTACATTAAAATTTAAAACTTCTGTTCAAAAAGACATTATAAAGTGCAAAAACAGGACAGAATGTTACACATATAATTGACAAATCATTTGGAAAAAGACAAACAATTCAATAGAAAAATGGGTGAAGGAGACAGGTTGGTAACCTGTTAAGCCAATGAATAGGTGAAGATGCTTATTTTAGTAGTAATCATGGAAATGGCCATTGAAGTATCAATGAGATGTGACGCCTTCATATTGGCACAAATGTTTAAGTCTGATAACAGCAGATTTTGGTAAGATTGGAGGGCAGTGTGAGCACTTATACACTGTAAATTGGCCCAAGCACTCTGAAAAGCAATTTAGTAAAACAAAGTACTGAAAGTGTCAGTCCCGAAATCTCATTTCTCGGCAATTTCCTAGAGATAATCTTGCTCACGTGCATAAGAAATCATGTACCAAATGTTTATTGCAACATAAATAGGTATCTACAGGAGACTGGGAAAATAAATTATGATCTATTCATACAATAGCATATAGTGACGGGATAAAATTAATAGTTATATGGATCAGTGTAGCTAAATCTCACAAACATTGAGTGGGATAAGCAAATGTTAAAAGGATATTATTTATTTAAAGTTTAAAAACACACCAAAAAAACACTATGTATGGATTCATGCACATGTAGTTGTAGTCTAAAAACCTGCCTGGGAATGAGAAATACCAAATTCAGGGGCAAGGTGGGACAGAATGGTACCATGAAGAACTGTCTAATAACCTCTCACTATTCTGTAATGTTAGATTTTGACAGAGCTGATGGTGGGAACTTGAAGTCTGATACATTATTCCTGTGCCCTTCTCTGGGTTAGAATTATTTCATAAAGAACAAACACAATTGGATAAAACAAAAATAGGCCACTGTAGGATTGGAAAATGCCTGCACAGTATAAAATGACAGACCCTCTCAAGACCCTTCCGACTGAAGAAATTAGAGAGGCTGTGTGTCATGTCTGCAGCTCACACAGAATTTTAAGGTGTCGTCTTAGATGAGAACAAGCTCCATATAATTGTGTTCCCAAAGGCAGTGTTACACAAGTGTTCAGTGGGTGGCAGAACAGAAATAACTACTTCTACTTGCGTCCCCTGAGAAGATCAGAATTTGGGTCATCTCATCATTGGATGTAGGTGCATTTGAAAATAGCTGACCACTTGTTTACTTTTATGTGTATAAACTGGGCTTACCTGGACCCTAACTATGTTCCTTCCATTGAAGTGTGAACTGAATTGTTTACTTGCCAAAAATAATACTGTGCGATTTAGAAAAAGTAATGGTTAAGTCCTAGAGTTCCTTCACTGTTCATTATTAATAGTCTTTTTCTCCAAGCACCTTCCATAAAGTATGGAAAGTGTGGAACACATTACAAAAAAAAGTCTTGGCAAGATTTTTAGTGGCCAGTTTCCATTATTTCGCTGATAAGTTCAAAGATCTGAATGAAATGACATTTCATGTTTTTTCTGCTATTGACGGCCAGGATGGCAGGGTGGGAGGCACTGGATGGAAGTCAAGAGACCTGGGTCTTTATTGCGGCTGGGTTGCCACCAGTGACTTTGGGCAACTCTGTCTCGATTCTTATTCCTCACTTGCAGAATGAAAGAGTTAAAGTCAAAAGTCTAGTTCTACAATACTAGGCTCAAGAGACCTTTGCCCCTGTGATCCTGCCTCTTCCAGAGATACACCCCGTGTGAATTTAGGAATCAGCTATGAGCTGATCTCACTTTCCTTTCTGTGTTAACCCAACAGCTAAGGACCATGTTGCCGCTTCCCACCAAACCACATGGGGGTGGTCCTTGCCTTTCAGCTTATCTCTCAGAGCTGCCGGAACATGACCACGGCTAGGGCCAGAAACAGTCCCGTGTACCACTCCTCTGCCACCCAGATCCTAGCAGTTAGCCACAAGAGCCATTTCCATGAAAACACGAAGCGCCACCCTAGCTTGCTGCAAAATACAAAGGCTGGCTTGACAATTTATCTTTTAAAAGTATACAGAACAAGAAACATCTTAGCTGAGAGTAATGCATGTGGTTTTGCTTAAAGAATTCAGAATTACAAATTAATTTGGTAAAAGCCAACCAATGAATTACCCACTTCCTTAAGGACCCATTTTTTAGCAGGACAACGCCTCTAGTCATGATGTACCAAACCTAAGTCCATTGATAGAGAAAGCAATTGTCTAAGTGAATTTAGGCATTGGCTATGAGCTGATATAATAGTAATTTTTCTAAACATTTTAACAACACAGCGAAAAACTGTTTTATCAATGTGACGTTCCATCAGTTGCTTTTAAATAGTATAGAATGCCCAACTTTATCGTGTCCTTGTTTGAACCCATTATGCCCTTTCTACTTATTTAACAGAGGTAGAGGAGAAACGTAAAAATCTGTAATTAAGACCTCACTTCTCTTTTCTGCTATTAAAATACTTTAAAAGTTCATTAAAATAATCAACTCTATATTCATTTATAGAAAGATTTGCAAGTGAGCAGAGGGGATGGTGGTGAAGCACTCAGCCCTTCAGAGGAATGAGGAGCCCAGAATATTTAACCAGAGAGCTATATAGGAGTCTACTTTTATGGGTTTTATGGTCATGTCATCATACGTGTAGCATCTAACTAGGAAGTGTGTCCATTGCAAAATATTGCACCAGTCCGTATTATTGTTTTGAAATATTATGTTGTTATTAAAGTTGTCCCTGTCATTTATAGTATAGCTGAATTATTAGCCCAGGATCACAGTTTCAACTAGGAGTGCACATAAGAATCATTGTGGAACTTTATAAAAATAGACTGCCAGAGCGCCACCCTATGTCTGCGTGGGGCCTGGGCAGTTCTAAATTTTAAAGCTCCACATACATAAGAAAACAAACATTGCCAACTTCCAGGAACAGAAGGTGAGAGTGGGGCGTCTCACCTTTGTCCTTTTTGATTTCGAGCCAGATGAATATATTATGTATGTTTAATATATTATATCTATTGAATATTATATTTTATATTTGATTAACATATTTCTGTATTATCTATTTAATTATATATAATTATGTTTTAGACAATATATATTTATAGTGACAAATTAAAATATAAAATTAAATAATTTAAGTATATTAAACATATTTCTGTATTAGATATAGAAAATGGACATGAATGGGGAATTACTGGTTTTCGTCAATAAGGAAGCAGAACCCGGGGGTTTCTGTATTTTACTAACACAAGTAGCAGATGACACCCCGGTGGGACCCGTGGTTTCCCTGGCCTGCAGCCCTAGTCCTAGGTATTGGTTTCTCACATTTCAGGTGTTTGTGGCCAGTCCTCATAAAACGCAGCCTATTGTGGAGATTCTACTAAAAAATCAACCCAAACTCATTGAGTTTCTGAGCAGCTTCCAGAAAGAAAGGACGGACGATGAGCAGTTCACCGACGAGAAGAACTACTTGATTAAACAGATTCGTGACTTGAAGAAAACAGCCCCTTGAAGCCCCACCTGGTTTCCTGCCACAGCCACTGTCTCATTTGTTCAGTTTGTACCGAAAGTGTCATTTCAAAAAGTGTTCATTCTTGGGAAGGCTTTGGAGGTGACTTTTTTCTCAATTCATTGTTCAGGGTAGTTGGAATATAAATCTTTGAATGAAAAAAAATTAACTTAGAATAATACATTCATTTTAATCAAGTCTGTGATTCTTTATGTGAAAGTCAGAGCCATCGTATCAGACATTGATAAAAGCAGTTGCAACTCTTTCTTGATGAAAGGCATCAAGGCTGTGGGCTTGCAGACCTGAGCCCTCAGTCACCACGAGCCACCAAGTAGGAGCCCAAAGGATGGGCGTCACTGAGTCCTCAAAGAGGACTAAATTCTCAGAGGAGAACTGGGCATGGGGGCAAGAGGCCCAGAACTGTTTTGCCCATCTGCACTTAGACAAACAAGTTTCTTAAGGCACTGAAAGGCACTGAGAAAATAAGATCCATGTTTTCAGTTATTACATATTCTGTTCCCTTGCCCATATCTCATAACTGTAGTCATTCGTTCCTAACTTCGTAGGGAATTGATGCCACCTCCCAGCTCAACCCTCCTTTCTGCTTACTGTCCCACGTTCAGTCCCAGCGCATCTCCCCAGCATGCCCGACTCATGACACACCCCCACCTCCGACCAGGTTAGCGTGGAGCCAACCAAGTGCAGACAGGATGGGCTAACAAGGGTCACCGGCATGGAGGGCCCCTGGGCTATGACTGCTCACTTGAGAACTTGGAACAGATGGTTAAGAACCTCAGCTCTAGCTAGAGTCACTGCTGCTTCACACTGCCTGCTGTAGGCTCAGGGAATGTTTGGAATAGTTCATTCATAACTCTTATTATGGGAAAATGTTTTGTGGTGAAACTGTATTTTAGAGTAGGAATCACTGCACTGAGATGACTAGCATGTGCACAACCATGGGTCCAGAGGGTTGCACACGTCTTTGGTCCACTTCAGAGCACTTATAAATAAGGGAACATTGACATTGGAAGGGCAGATGATTAAATGCATGAACAGATTCTCCAATGACAACATTTTTTTCAGTTTATTTTCTCATAAGCTGTCACTCTAATGTCACATCAACGTGTTGAGTGAAAAGGTAGAAAACCTAACAAAAATGTTTGTCTCAAGTACTAGGATGGTTAAAGAATGTGTTTTTTAAAAGAGACCATGGTTTGTGTTCAGATATCAAGTATATAAAATGGAATTTTAAAGCTACATTTGCAAGATGTGAAAGGTACAATTGTTGATCGGATTTTCTTCATAATTCTGTTTCCAAATCATGAATTATGGCGTTCCATTGGAACCTTCGCTTTTTACAGTATGGGTGCTGTGTTCTTCAACCAGATATTTATCCACCCAGAGAGCGACAGCTCCCGCTCCGGGGTCAGCGCCCTTGTAGATTTAGCCCCTGAAGAATCACCTAGCACAGGTTCACCCTCCTCCGCTGTGTTCTGCGTGCCTAGTGTGGGGTCCTGAGGCAGATGGGGGCTGGGAGGGTGGTGTAAGCCGCGGCCCATCCGTCAGTCACTGAAGTCAGATGATTTTTATAACATTCCCTGAGAGCCCAGAGTTTCAAAGAATTTGACTTCTCTGGTTTTGCTTATTTGTTTAAAAGAGATGAGTTTAAATAATTTTTTAAAGGTGCAATAATGACCACTGGAAATTTATTCCATTGCTTAAATACTATTCCATACTTCATGGGACATGTATTTTCAATTGGAAAGCAAAAGCCTTAGAATTCTTTTAGAATTCTTTTTTGATAAGTAAAAACATTTTATTTCTTCTGAGCTTGCATGAGCTCTTTCCTGGCAGCCCCTTATCCTAGTTTAGTACCTGACAAACAAAACTAGAGTCTAAGACGCAGTAAATGAAGGAGCTGGGGCTTTGTTGTGATACAAATTTGTAATGTGAAAAGTGGGAGCTAGGAGCTCACAGTTAAAATGTCTGCACAAAAATCACTGTAAATATTGTGAGAATTGAGTTTTGAAAAGGTCATATTTAATAAGCTATTTCAAAAGCACACATTTAAATAAAGATGGACCAAATAAAAAGGCGCCACATATTCCTTGGTCAGTTTCATTCCTCTGTATGTCCTGCCTCTGTGTCTGTGTTGCCACTCCCAGCGAGGAGAGCCCCGCCGACCAGGCCCCCACAGGGTCTCCCCACCACCGTGCCCCCGCTGCCCCTCCTCGCGGGGAGCCCCCCTGCCCTGCCACCACCTGTCAGGCAGTAAATACACACACCATGTTGTTGACACCTTACCGCAGCCAGAGTTGGTCCCATTTTATATTTGAGGAAACTGAGGCTCTGAGCGGTTTATCCCAGACAGTGTGGACTAGACTTGGGGTACAAACCGATGGTGGCTGGAGGCCAAACTCCTGCTGTTAATCCTTTTTTCATGAACAAGGGGAGGTCCAGGGGCTCGCGAACTACGTTGTGCCCTCCCCTACTCTGCCTGGGAGGCTCCCGGGGCTGTGAAGGTCCCAGAATGAAGCCAGGAGGGACTGAGATCATCATGTTGTTGGACGAGGCTCTCGGTTAAAACCAGGCATCTGCCCAAATGTTAGGATTACCGTGGGAGAAAGGGCTGAGAGGCGCGGGGGCCCTGAGCAGCTGTTCTGCCTGCCAGCCTCCGAGGGCCCTCCTCCTGGGAGGGCTCTGGGCGGGCAGTGCCTCCGGGGAGGGGTGGCAAGCTTTCCAAAGCCTCTATCGCCACCCGCTCTGGTCAAGTGTGTGAGACGTGGCTGCTCTGAGCCACAGCGCCCTCGGGAAGTTACACAGTACCCAAGGTGATTGTAATAATGTGAAGGAAAATGAAATTCAAAAGTCACCAGAATTCTTTTGAATAAGAAAAGATAGTTGTTTCAAAATGGATTTACAGATCTTTCTAGTCTCCTATATTAGAGGAAATGAAGATTTTATATTTTTTACTTATTTTTTGTTTTATCCAGAAGAATGTGGTACATATGGCATGAATCACCACCAGCGTTCTATGCGTGTTCTTTCAGGAAGGTTTTGGCTATTTTAGTGAGGGCCCATAGGCAGATAAAGGCCAGAAACATAAAGAGACCTGGAAAAGCTAGGCTTAGTCTTCCTGGGAACACGGAAAAGATGGCAGACTGATGTGAACAAGGATGTGACTTTGTTTTGGAAATACAGAAAGTGCTGTTACGTGACTACCATTATTAAAGCAAAGTACAGCGAAGTGATCAGCCTGGCCGGCACCAAGCCTCTTCAGACACCCCAGTCAGCTGTCTCAGTCTCCACTCTACCGAGGAGGACAAGGAATCACAGAAGGTGTTACCAAACGCAGGTCCCTGTGCCTGATGCACAGTGAGGCCAAACAATACCAAAACGTGGCTATTGCAGGGCCGAGCAAGGAGAACCTATGGCTTGTGCCAAAAACCCCTGAATTCCCTGAAGGGTTTAACAAGGCATTTTTAAAGGCCAGATGAGGGAGGAGCGTCCCAGGGCATATGATCAGCTGTGCACAATTCTTGGATTGATTCATAGCAATCAGTCCTTAGGAGCCAGAAGGTCTGGGGGCTGCTTGCTTGTGTTCGTGATCATCAAGTAGTTAATTACTAACATGGTGTTGGTTTAACATCTGAAACAATCAAGAAATATGCATGAGATGATAGCACCTGGACAATTCAGAGAGGAGCCACAGCAGAGGATATGGGGGAGGGATCTCTCCCAGGAAGGCCCCATAGGGTCCTGCTTGGTTACAATTCCCTTTTCTTTGATACTTCTCAATCTTGAGGAGGACAGGTATTGAACAAGAAGGGAAATGATGTTTCAGATAGAGAGATTAACCACAAACTCGACAGAGGAATTCGATTTCAGTCTCCAACCCTGTTTCATCCTTCCCCAAGTCTTTCAGGGAATGGAGCGACAACCACTCTAGCTACTTCCTGCTGAAACGAGGTGTAGTCCTACCTCCATTTGGGGAATGGATACTGACTTGGAAATATTCCCAAGTTCCAAGTCCTGGATCTGAGTTTTTGCATGATTAAGATCTCAGAGCCTGAGAAATTTAGGAGAATAAGGCTGAAAATCAATGTGGACCTGGCACTCTGGGGGAGCCTTGTAGTCAGGGAGCCAATGTAGGTTTTAACTTCTGATGTGGTAGTAAACACGTATCTAACAGGAGCTATTGGCCATCACACGTCTCCTTTTTTCTGCTAACATCTGATCTAAAGTAATTTTATTATCTAAAGTTTAGTAGTTGTAAGAAGAGACCTTGAGGTCTTAAGGTTACAGCTGCCACCTGCCAGCAGACACTGCTGTGAGAATGGCTGGTAGTGTCCCAAATACGACAGGGCTCAAAAGGCTAGTGTTCTCAACAACACAGGAACGTGTCTGAAACCACACGCACAGTGGCTACCTGGTGTTACCTTGGCCGTCTGAACCACAGATATTCCATTTAGACTTTCAAACACCTTCCCCTGCTCAAGGCCAGAGCAGATGTACAGTGCATGTCCAAAGGGCTATTAAACAGGCCACTTTGGTCAGTAAAGTTTAAGTTAAGCCATATATAAGCCAGAATGTCTTCCCCATACCTCACTATGTGCAGATTTTTCCATCGTTTCCCCTTTTGATTGCAAATCTTTAAATAGAAAGCATTGATGATCAAAATAGCCTTCCCTCGATGCTGGGGTGGTGGCTTCTGACCCAGGTTTAGATCATGGCCCTTAGTACTAGGCCTCCTTTCTATTTGCCTACTTATCCATATCGGGGGAAAACTGATCGATATTATGAACAGGCTCAGGGGTATGTTAATGGGGAAACACTTTACAGGCCATACATTTTACCACTTATACCCAACTGTTACACAAGCATTGTGTATGTGCTTTTAGAAAACAAGTATTGTTATATATCATGAGAGTTATAATCTGTGACAACTCCATTAGAGAATTCTCTTTCTAGCCTAAAACATTGCGGGAGATATTGATAGGGAGACAAATAGCTGGGAAACAGTTCAATTAAAAAACAGATCAAAAGCCAGTAATATTTCAGACAAAGCCAAAAAGTTACAACCATATTCATCAGTTCACTCAATCCTATGTAATGAATCCTTTTTACTAACAGCTTTATGAAATCTGAGTTTATTAGACCTTTAAAATATCTTACCCAGCTCAGCAGTATAATTTAAAAGAAACCTGTACTTGTCAAAAGTCAATTTTAGGTACTTGTACCCCAATGTTCATAGCAGCACTGCTTACAACAGCCAAGACATGAAAACAACCTAAATGTCCACTGACAGATGACTGGATAAATAAGTTGTGGTATATTTATGCAACGGAATACTACTCAGCTGTAAAAAGAATGCCATTTGCAGCACCATGGGTGGACCTGGAAATCCTCATTCTAAGTGAAGCCAAAAAGAGAAAGAAAAATACCATATGGTATCACTTACATGTTGCATCAAAAAAAAAAAAGATAAGACACAGTGAACTTATTTACAAACTGAAACAGATGCAGAGACATAGAAAACAAACATATGGTTACCACAGGCAAAAGGGGGTGGGAAGGTATAAATTGGGAGTTCAAGACTTGCAGACACTAACTGCTATATATAAAATAAGATAAACAAGTTTATACTGTATAGCATAGGAAACTATATTCAATATCTCATAGTAACCTATAATGAAAGAGTATAAAAAGGAAGGTATGTATGCATATGTATGACTGAAACATAGTGTAAACCAGAAATTGACACATTGTAAACTGACTATACTTCAATTTAAAAAATGAGAAAAAAGTCCCTTTTATGAACCGTCTTGAAGATGAAGGCGTTTTGCAAAGCATCAACTTAACTGTATATCAGTGACAAAAACTTAAAGGCAAGGCAAAAGATCCAATTACAATGTTTGTGACAAAAAAAAGTCTTAATCAAGTTGCTGTGACATACAGCATTCCAAGGTAACAACCAGAATCATGACTGCCAGCATTACACCAGGACATATCCAAATTTCAGAAACTTTATTTCTAGAATATCTATTAATAACATTTATCCATACTACACGATCTGAGGAGGCTTATCACTCATTTGTCAATGCCTCCTGGGTAATCCAACATACCAACCTATTCTAGTTAGTTTAACATTTTTCTCTGAGATGCCTCAGGGGCCCTATGAAGCATCCCAAAGTTAGCTGAAGTCAAAGGAACTTTAATTAGAACTTGATAGAAAAGTCTGTCAAAAATATCAAAAAGTTTCACACAATCCATTATCAGAAACAGTATAAGTAAATTATGTTCCCTTAACAGAGAGGAACCAAATCTAGTCCTGCACCAGCCTACTTTTATTAACAAAATCCATTTACCTAATTAATCTCAGCCTGACCATGCACAGGATTCCCTTTTTTAGGGCTCCCTTTCTCCAAACTTTCCAAAACTTTCTATATCCATATTAGTCATTTATCCCTGCCCCCTCTTTTTCCCCCCAATTTAAAAACAACCAGCTGTAGGACCAAATCACTTTTTATTTTCCCCCTTAACAAAATGCAGTTCTATTCCTCATACCTTTTTGTACTCAAAACATGTATCATACCATCCTAATGTATACTGAAATGTTTCCTTATATGTTTTTAGTAGCTTTAATTACATATTTAAATTAGAACCCTCAACTCTTAAAAATCTTAATTTCTAGTGAATGTTACAATATCTTATTTTGGTTGAGAATGACTAGCTATTCAACTATTCAATAAACTTCCATCATTTGACTTAATTTAGCACAACTAAAATTTCAAGTTCCCAAATATCTGGGGAGATCATTTTTAAGTAGACACTTCTAAAACATAATTATTTCTGAAGAGTTCACCCAAAAGCTCTTATTTGCATGCAATTCACTTATAAGAATCTCATCATACCAAGTTAATTTTTTTCTTTCTGCTGATAAACTGCAACAGAAAGAAATGAACTTAACGACCTTCAGTAAACCTAGGTACAATGAAAGACATATCTGTATTGATTATACCAACAAGCTTAAGTTAGATTTAATATCAGATATCAATTCAATACTGAATATTTCCTAGATCACATGAACCTGAAATTTGTTCT